CATAGGTCGTTTTAAATAGTCACTTTTAGGTAGGCCTTGCCGACCTGGTTGCACAGACCTCCCTCTGAGCCGCTGTCAGCAGAACCACTTCTTTAGTACATGAACATGGAGAAAGGTTTCCTTTTCGTCCCACCTGCATTGCGTTGGCGAGAGGCGGAATTCTGAAATATGCCAAAAAGCGAGACGTGTGAAACCGACAGGGGCCCGACAGTACGTGGACGGATATCACGGGACGTCCACCTGAGACGTTGTGCAACAGCCTCTCTTCTGAGATGACGCCGTCGGGTGTGTAAACAGAGGGCGTCCGCTGGCTGTGAAGGCTGGATCAACACTCCTCCGCGCCACAGCTTTCCACCCCCCTGCGCCTTACAACCTTTGACCCCTGGGTGACCCCCTCCCCGCCCCCTCCTGTGTGGTGACACCGCTGAACCCTCGGAACCCCCCCCCTCTGGTGTGGTGACGCTGCTGAAGCCTTCCTCCTAACAGCATTAGTGTACAAGGACAGAGGAGAGATCCTGTGTCCTTGTGCACTAATGCTGTTATCATGCTTCGTTTCACAGCTAGTTTCTGCCTCCTCCTCTTGCCTTCTAATGCCCGATGGACCTTTATTAGATCCAGCGAGGGCCCAGGAACGTCTTAAAACAACACTCGTATGCTGGTGTGTGCATTAAATGCATCATATTTAGCCTTCGTTGTCCCTCAAGCCTGTGAAGAGAGCCAACCCTAATGGACACAATCTTTGGACGTGCTTCAAGAGGCCAGTGTGGACTCGAGGAACCACAACAGTGAGTAACTGCATTAATGTACATGTGGGCATGCTGGTATTTCATTTAAAAACAGCAAACCTATCCTTTTCATGCGTGCACACAAACACGCACAGGGCATCCGATTGCCTGTTTTCAAACGGGCTCCTCTCTGCATACCTGTTGCTGTGCACAATGGGCCAGTTGTCTGGACAGCAGGCCGATAGGCAAGGTGTGTGCGTAAGTGTGTGTGTGTGTGTGTGTGTGTGTGTGTGTGGAGGTTCGGGGCACCAGAAACTACCGGTACAACACTGCATCTCGTGATAAGATCCAAACGCACACGCGCACGCGCTCATGTGCACCCCCCCGACCCCTTGTCAGGATGGAATGTTCCGTGGGTCGAGACTGACTCTGTAAACCCATTCACAAAACGGACACAAAGTAGTACCCTGGGGCACACACACAGACACACACATGCGCGCCTGTGTCTGGACCCTCCCTTGGTTTTGTTCCCGGCTGACCAGGTGGATTACACGGGAGCTGCTGGTTTCTCAGGACGATTGTTTCTTGCCTCGTCAAAGTGTTTTGTGTGTGTTCATTTGGAAGGCGTGGGCCGATTTCCATTCAGTCCCCCTCTGACTTCTCCCGATCTCCGTGCCTGTACTCTTTCCTGTATGTGTGTGTGTGTGTTTGTGCTCTTTTCCGTAAAACAATACAAACTTTCATGGGTGTTGGTGAAGGTGACGTTGCAACAAGTTTCTGCCACATGTGGTGACATGAAGTGTTGTGACAATGATCATATTTACCGCAGACGCTGTTCATTTTTATCGTTGGGTGGGTTTATTCACCCTACCGAACACAACCACCGAACACAACCACCGAACACAACCACCAAACACAACCATCAAACACAACCATCAAACACAACCACCAAACACAACCGTCAAACACAACCATCAAACACAACCGTCAAACACAACCACCAAACACAACCACCAAACACAGCCACCAAACACAGCCATCAAACACAACCACCGAACACAACCACCAAACACAACCACCAAACACAACCGTCAAACACAACCGCCAAACACAACCGTCAAACACAACCGTCAAACACAACCACCAAACACAACCGTCAAACACAACCACCAAACAAAACCACCACACACAAACACAACCACCAAAGACAACCATCAAACACAACCATCAAACACAACCATCAAACACAACCGTCAAACACAACCGTCAAACACAACCACCAAACACAACCATCAAACACAGCCATTAGACATAACCACCAAACACAACCGTCAAACACAACCCCCAAACACAACCACCAAAGACAACCATCAAACACAACCGTCAAACACAACCGTCAAACACAACCACCAAACACAACCATCAAACACAGCCATCAGACACAACCACCAAACACAACCGTCAAACTCAAGCGTCAAACACAACCGTCAAACACAACCGTCAAACACAACCATCAAACACAGCCGTCAAACACAACCCTCAAACACAACCACCAAACACAGCCATCAAACACAACCGTCAAACACAACCGTCAAACACAACCGTCAAACACAACCGTCAAACACAACCGTCAAACACAACCGTCAAACACAGCCGTCAAACACAACCGTCAAACACAACCGTCAAACACAACCACCAAACACAACCATCAAACACAACCGTCAAACACAACCATCAAACACAACCGTCAAACACAACCATCAAACACAGCCATCAAACACAGCCATCAAACACAACCACCAAACACAGCCATCAAACACAACCATCAAACACAACCACCAAACACAACCGTCAAACACAACCACCAAACACAACCATCAAACACAACCATCAAACAAAACCCCCAAACACAACCGTCAAACAAAACCACCAAACACAACCATCAAACACAACCCCCAAACACTATCATCAAACACAACCATCAAACACAACCCCCAAACACTATCATCAAACACAACCATCAAACACAACCGTCAAACACAACCATCAAACACAACCACCAAACACAACCGTCAAACACAACCATCAAACACAACCACCAAACACAACCGTCAAACACAACCATCAAACACAACCACCAAATACAACCATCTGGTTGTGTTTGCCGAAGCAGTTGTTGGAGCCGTCCGGAGCAGAACAGAGTCAACTTCACATTCAAACGTCGGGACCAGCTGAACCTCGACTTGTTGCTCGTCCACCCGGTTGGGGTCGGTTTGTGGCTCCATGTCGCTGGCTCCCAAAGAGAATAAGGTGTGCAGCATTAAAGGAAAACCCGTCTGCATCTAAATATATCCTGCAGGGTCAGAGGCGCAACAGTGGGCGTCATCGATGAGGTTGTGAACATCATCTGTTTGTTAGCATTTCCTCGAGCAGCTCTGCTGGTGCGATCTGGGAACGCGTTTAAAGGGAAGGAGTTGTCGTCTGATCAAGCCGGGGAACTGGAGGACAAACACAGGTGAACATGAAATGCAATGTTCATTGTGAGCAGCCTTTGTTGTAAAAAACAAAATGTTCTCACTCCCAGCGCTTCAAAGAAACCAGCTCAAGTGTTCCTAGACGTTTGATGAACACTATTCCTGCCTCGTGTGGCCTGAAAAGTAAAGTTTATTCAGTGACTTGACTCATAGGTCAGTGATGTTAATGTCAACCGAGGAGACTTTTTATTTGACCATTTCTTTGCATTTGTTTTCCACCATGTGAGCTACGTACACAGGTGAGACTTCAACAGTGTCAGACCGTTTGCTGTTTGTCACCAACACAAAACTCAGACAGGAAAAAAGCTTTCTTGGATTTGTCCTTTACCTTTCGTCGGCTCAGATGTCTTTCTGTGCTTTCCATTGTTGGAGCAACATGCTGGTATCACTCTATCACATGGTTATCAGTGTTGTTCACCGGACGTGCTGACGCCGTGATGGTTACTGCTCCCTGACCAGATAATAAGCAGCTCCAGTGTGGTTAGAAGTCACGAGGATGATGATGTTTCTCTTTCTATAGTAAGTCATCCTCTCTCCCTCGCTCTCTCCTTCCTTGACCTTGGCAGTGACTGCGACACCTAAACACACAAGGGCCCGGCCCTGCCATTGGCCAGTGACAAACCACATGATTGTAGCGTCAGCTGACCAAATTCTAGGCTAGATGGGAAACTTCTTTCAGCGGGATGAAAGAAAAGAAAAAACCCATAGGACTTTAATGTCAGACCCTGTGTGTGTGTGTGTGTGTGTGTGTGTGTGTGTGTGTGTGTGTGTGTGTGTGTGGGAGGGTAGAAAGGCTCTTGATTTTTGCTGAGTCATTTTTTCTTCATCCCAAATGGGACTCTGGGATTGGTTGACAGTTGTGAGGCGTGGGGCGACCCACCCAATGAGGAAGTGTTACATCAGATCACAATCACACGTCCCCCGCTGGTGCAGTCGATTCTCGCATAACAGCAATTTCATACTCAACACAGGCTCACAGTACGTCTGTGTCCCCTGCACACACACACACACACACACACACACACACCTGTGTGACAGCCTGGCGGTCGAGGCATTGACGTCCGGTCCGCTGAGGTCGACCCTTATGTTCATGCCTTACAGACTTGAACAGGGCATTTGATAATTAAACCTGTAAGACATTTATTTACATTTACCTTTATTTGGTTTTGTATGTTAGGTTTAGTTTTACTTTTTAAGTGACAGGAGGTTTAGTTTCATTTTCTATTTTGAGGAAATGAATGAAATTGCCTCTCATTTTGTTTCTGTTTTGTTATTTTCCTACACTGCAGTGCAAAGGGCAACGTTTGCGCAGTGTTTAGGGTTCTATTAACGGATACATGACATTGTTCACACACTCCTCAAACATCTGTGTAGGTGTGTCCAAAGATAATCCGATAATACGACCACAATGTTCTCAACAACAGGTGGGGAGGATGCTTTGTAGAATACAAGTGATGCTTCCAGTCATGCAGGACGCATTCCGTCAAACGTGTGTGCTGACGTCTTAAACAGAATTATCACTTTGAAAGTCCGTTGAGCAGACACACAATGAGGCTGTGATGTGAACATGTGAGGATGTGCAATGCGTGAGTGATTGCTATCTATTAAAAAAACAGGCAAATTTCATAGCACTGCATCGGCATTAATATTTTCCTGGACAAACAAATATTGTAGAAAGATCCGGCTCATTTTTACACATTTTTAATTTATATTATTATTTTTTGTTTTTTCACTGCATGTATATTTTGGCTGTCGAAGCCCTTTGCAACTCTTTTGTAAGGGGCTCTATGAATGAGGTTTTACCGCTTCTGTCTCAGTCCCAGTGAAGCGGTCTGTGCCGGTTAATGTCCCACCAGTCAGGCCAGTTAGTCTGTCTGTATTTACCCAGAGATGGTGTCTTTTTTCCTTGTAATCTGCTATCTTCCGTGCACGAGTCATTACATTACTTTACTGGAAAAGCTCTGCTCTCATTATCGTAATCATGTTGTTTGATTGTGCTTTTACCTTCTACCAACCGGTCTCTGCATTTTTGCAATTGTCTCACCTGTCATTGAAGGGCGATCTCTCTCTCTCTCTCTCTCTCTCTCCAGTGTGTACGGAAACATTTCCTCCTCCTCTGGGTGCTCACAAGAAAAAGATAATGACACTTTTGAGAGGTTGGTGGACGCACACCTAAAGCTTCCTTATGGACACAAGTTGTTGGCCCATATGCTTCGTCGTGGTTCTGTGTTTTAACATCCTCAAAAACGTTTTTCCATTCTCTTGATGTTACATCAGACCATAAAAACACTTCCCTCAACAAGATATGTGTGCGTGCGCTATACGGGTAATAAAGTCACCCTGGCCTTTGGATCGCGCTCCCCTCCACCGTTAAAGTAGGTTTATGGCGGCGTGCGGCCTTCACGCCAACATAATGAGACCCTGCCGGGTCGAGGGAACACATTTCTCCATGCGTAAACTTTGAGCTGGCTATCTGTGCCGCGTGTGTGTCAGGATGTCGTTGAATATTGCCAAGGAAAAAAAGGCGAGAATCAGTGATTGCGCGTCCTTCATTAACAGAGTCATTGGTTAATGTGTCACTTCTATAATGGCAGCGCACATACACAAACACACACACACACACACACTCTTGTGCCGGAGGAGAAGGACACCCCGTCTGATAAGAGCGCTGTTCCCTCCTTAAGGCTCGTTTAGAGGTTATGTACACTTCCACACATTGTCAACGTGCTCTCCTTCCCATTCTGCGCTGCCCCTCCCTCCGTTTCCCTAGACGCCTTTTTGCAAATGGCCGTTAAAGGTAAAAAAAAAGAAACCTGCGTTCGTCATGTGAAAATGAAATGATCCGAATGGCTGGAAATGTGTGACCGGTTGGTCAGGCTATGATTGCTGTTCGGGGAACCTACAACCGCTTGTAAAAAAAAATCTGCTTTTGGACGGGTTTCCCCCAAAATGATGAGAAGTCATCTCTTCTTTTGTCTGCACTGCATCTAAACACGCCTGAAGATTTGGTTTGAGATTTGTGGAGAAATGTGCGTTCCGGTGGGGAACCGCTGGGCGCTGAAGTGACAGGCGGTTCCACGCCGATGGCGCTTCTGTGAGGCTTTTATGGTTGGATGTACTTTTGTTTTTGAGTGTTGCCGCTTGGTCACACACTCAAAGAACCGCTCTGACGGTCCGGTCCAGTGTCTCGGGTGGGTTGTGGAATGGTCCCGGATGAAGTCAACCGATTAGTTTTGTGTACGTGGAAATGAAAGTTAAATTATTCTTTGTGATGCTCAGAACGAGAGAAAATGGAGGGTGAATGAGGATCCTTTCTTTGCGGCGGAGTCACAGATCCAATGCATCCACGTGACAGTCACAGCCAGCGACTGTAATAATGAACCTTATGGCGTGAAGGACGAGTCCAACGAATACACAACTTTCACCCACGAGACCTCTTTGTGAGTTTTGATGATTCCAAAACCCAACGAATTGGTTCTGTTGAACCTAAACCACATTTTTAACATCCATGTTTGGAGCTTTGGTCAGAGGATGAATCCCCGCTGACTTATCAAGCTCAGACCTTTGGTTTCTGACTAAACACCTCCAGAACAAATGCCGTTCCTCTCAGTTTCAGTTTGCATTTTCTGCTAATTAACTTTATTAATTAATTAACCACGAAAAATAACATACCATCTGCAAATGCGGCCTTTGCACACCTCAAACACAAGACAATTGATGGTCGTCAATCATCACCTTTTCGTCACACCCTCTGTCCTTCTGTCCCTTCCCTTTTTCCCTACTCCTTATCAGCTGAGAGGGAGATTGAAGGAGGGAGAAGAAAAGGTGGGGGCCGAGGAGCCAGGAGGGGGGAGGGGGGGTTACCTGTTCTGAGTGGCCCCACCTCTCTCTCTCTCTCTCTCTCTCTCTCTCTCTCTCTCTCTCTCTCTCTGGCCATTGAGGATGAGTAAACACCAAACCACCTTTGCTTACCTCCACACTCAGACACTCAGACGCAGGCGGGCGAGGAGCGTCTCTTATTTCCGCTGCGGGTCTGTCAGCATCGACGCCGACCGAGAGAGAGAGAGATTGAGTTTCAGAACGACTGTGATTGTGCGAACGGACCTGAAGCCCAAATTAAAGCGCGCCGCCGTCTGCTTCTTGCATCTTCTCGGCCCGCTCCGTCGATCGCCTCCTCAGTGCGGGATACAGGTACTGTGTTGGTGTCCACCTGTGTTTTCTCGGCCTTTTGGAACCCTGTCATTTAAAAGTCGGTTCATTGCGTCACTTGAATAATTAACGATAGAAAATCTTACTTTGGTTGGTCTTGAAAAATGTCAGCGTCTTGTGAGCAAAAGTGTTGGGTATCTTGCTGATAACGGTTTAACGTCGTGGTCCTCGAGCGTGCCTTCTGACAGAGAAATCTGGCCCTCCAGAGAGCCGCCAGACTTGTTCTGCTGCATTGTCTCAGGCAAAATGATTGGACACAGAGGCGCTTCTAGCAATCAGTGTTTAAAATGGAAACTAAGCCTTACCCTCTCCTTACAACGAAACCAGTGGAACCAGTGGGGTGGCATGGCACTCTATGTGTGTTTAGGGTGGTGGTGACTACACTTAGAGGCTTAGACTTCCGGGTTCTTCATCATATAATATGTGGACTTTCACCCTGGTGAGCCGAGCTGTTTGCTGTGCGTGTGTGTGTGTGTGTGTGTGTTCGTGTGTGTGTGTGTGATAGAAAATGTCACAAATGCAGAATGGAGTGAAAATAAATAGTAATAATTCACTTTACGTTCATCTCCTCAGCTGCGATGGAATCTTGTATTGTCCGAAATGTTTTCTCAGTTGCGCGTTACTTCCATTGCAGGAGGGCGACACGCGTGATCTTAACTGTGTTTGTCGACGGGGTGCGTCATTGTTTGTTGTCAGAAGTTTGCATGAAGGTTAGCTCTTTTGTGAGCCTGCGTACTAACTGGGAGAGTGAAGGATGCCAAAAAAAACTAAATGAAGCCGTAGGCAAATATTTGTTCCGTTTATTGTAAAGTGTGTCAAATATCACCGACTCCTTTGCTCAAATGCAGCCAGTTTCCCCTCATACAGACACACACACACACACACACACACACAGGGGCCCGCTAAAGCCTTTATCACGAGTGTGTGACACCGTCACCATCAGTAGTAATTGTCTGAAACAATGTCTACTATGGCCTTCAATGGGCTTGCTGATTAGCCGGAGGAATGTGTTTGCCTAAGGAAGCAAAGCTAGTGCTAAAGCAGCTCTTATGATTAGTAATGGCTACACGGGTATACGCGGGGACAAGTGTGGCAATGTAGGGTTGCAGCTGACCTTCGTATCCTGTCAACTTTGCCATTGCGACGGAATCCAAAGCAGCTCCGTTTAGAATTAGCGTGTAAACTTACATATTTGATACCGATATTTGAGTTGAAAGCAAAAGTTGCATCGCTAAATCACAGCATCCTAGTGACATTGGGGTGTTTTCGGTGGACAAACGTGAAGGTTCCGAAAGTGTGTGTGTGTGTGTGTGTGTGTGTGGGGGCACTCACAGAGTAAATGAAGTGGAATCATCCCTCCGCGGTCACTTCGGCGCCCTCAATCTGACCTGAAATTCCCTTAAAGGGAGTTTCACTTTAAAGCTTTGGAGCTTTTAGGGAGGCCGGACATTTGCTCCCCTCCTCTCTGCTTGCTAGTCTGCCTGGCTGCTCCCCGCTTGGCACCGCGCACACACCCAAACACTCCGTTGCCCATATTTTCTACGTTTTGTTCTCACCCACCTTCCTCCTTCGGCCTCCACACTTTCACTGCCCCCACCCATCCCACCCCCACCCCCCGACCCCCCGCTGATCCCCTTTGAGCTTGAGTGAAGCGCAGGAATGAAGGTGACATAGAAAGAGGGAGAGAAAACTAGTTAGTTACCCACCTTCACAGCTGGGCCATCCGGACAACGTCCGTCATGCGTCGCGCCGGTCAGTTCCATCGGAGAGACAGAGGCGGTGGCTGAAGATGGGGAGAGTTTTTTTTGCATGTGGAGTAAAAGAAACAGGCATTCGGCGGAGAGCTGTGCAGAGGACGTCCTCCAAACGGACCACCTTAGGCCTGAAGGTGTGCCAGGCTAAGCTAGCTGCCAGGCTAAGCTAGCTGCTACACCTCCAACTCAACAGCTACCCTGCGCGGCGCGCGGCCCGAGGAGGACCAAACACTTTGTCCCCTAAAGACAGTGGCTGGCTAAATGTGGGGAGATTGTTGGCGCTTTAAACTCAGCCGTCGAGCGACGGAGAGTTGAGAGCACGAGGACAACAGGAAGAGTCGCTAGTTCAACGTGTTCTGATCAAATGTGTGTTAAACAACAGTGTATACACACTTTCTAAAGGGATGAATCTAGATGAATTCATTTCCAAATGTGAGATTAGTGTGTTTTTTTGTTGTATCTGTATTTACCTAATTCAAACTCAAAGAGCAAAATGAAACTCAACCAGACGTGTGGCCACGTAGTAAGTCAGCGAGTGGTGTCAAGTGGTAGTTTTGTCAGTCACACCATACAAAACAACACAATCGAGCCATTTAACAGCGAGTGACGTGCACAACCAACGGGCTGTACGGTCAGCCGTGGACAGACATCCGAGGTGCACAATCACACACTGAGGCTCGCACGCACACAGATACAACCGCTCACCGCATGATGCTCCGAGCAGGGATACGAACTGCTCACAACGAATGAGTTAAACCGTTTTTGAGTTATCTGTGCACCACAACTGGTGCGCCGTGAAACATCAGCTCCTCGAATACCAAAGACGAAGGGACAGAAAACAGATATGTGAAGACAACGAGCCTTAATGCCTGATCCTGCTCCATCCTGTCTTAGTCAGCATGCTGACAATCGAACCGGCTGAACCACAGTGTGAAGACATCATGTGAAGGGGGTCAGCAATAGTTCCCGCTTCTCTTTTCTTCGTTGTTCTGCTCGTTTTTTTGGTCATTTGCTGCCCTGGACCTCAATAATGGACACAAGGAGAAGATTTCCCGTTTGTTGCTTTGTATTTATCACCACTATTAAACCTTACTAATGCTCCCCCGCCCCACATTTTCAAGGATTTTCCTATGAAAGTATTTTGGGACACAGTTGTGTAAACCAAAAAGATTTGCAGTTGTAGACACTCGAATAAACCGCAGGAAGCTTTTTGTAAGAGGACGTTTCTGCACAGGCCTGGGAGAGCTGCAGCAGGAAAACGCCGCGGCGCCTCGTATCGCACCACAGAAACAAACAGCGGGACCTCTGGTCTTGTGACACGCTACTCATTTACTTATATGGATGACTTGTAAAAAGAGAAGCCGAGATACTGATTACCAGCTCTGCTTTATTGCTGACTCTATTCCTTATTCATAGATTTTGTGTGCGTGGCAGATTCTAGTGTGTGTGTGTGTGTGTGTGTGTGTGTGTGTGTGTGTGTGAGACCTGTTGCCTTAAAAGAGAACCAGCTTTTGAGAGATAACCAAGAAAGCAGAATAAGCACTTTCTAATGTAAATCCTTATGATTTATTGACAGTTAAATAAACGTGATACACTAACAGCAGCACGACTTCAGCTTGAAACCAAGGAAGCTTTTTGTTAGAATTTACTGACGATGCAGAGATGAATCTGTCTTCACAAGAATGGGCTTTGGTGTGAGAACCACAAATGGAGTGATGCATAAACGCCTAGTTGGTGTTGGTTGTTGGCTTAATTGATGGTGGTCTTATCTGTCAACCTGTGTCATTCCTTCTTATATGTTTTAGATTAAAACCACAGGTGACCCACGAGCCAAAGCCTGATTTGACAAAACCAGACTGGGTACGTGCGGTGTGAAGGTTCACGATTTGTTTGTGCGCCGGACAAATGATTTAGTGAACCGGTTCAATGGACGAGGTGGCGAAACATATTTCTTTCCACTTGGCCGGTCTGGGGCCGTGCGGTTGAACCGTTGACCTGATGGACTGTGCGCTCAGCGGAGCATCCTGATTGGCTCTCGCTAATGACTGACAGTTAATCTTTGATTCACAACCCGGAGGGCTTTACGGCCTGTGCACACGCGACGTCCCCCGTCCCGAATAGGAAAAAAACTCCCCAACCGTGTCACGAGAGTGGATTTGATCATTTGATTGATGTGAGGTGCGACAGCTCAGAGTATCATTTCTTCTTTAATCGCTTGTCTTTTCATCCTCCTGCTAAATAGACTTTCTCCTCGCCTGTTTGCTCAGTGGGTTTCAATGGCAGCTGAAACTCAGTGCCCTGTTGACCACACACTGTGACTTTCATCTGGCTCTCCCCCCTCTCCCCCATCTGCTCTCTGTCCCTCACTCCCTCTGCTTTTCTTGCTCTCTTCAGAGTGCCAAGGGAAGTTTTGTTTCGACAGAAACTCGTCTCCCCGGCGGGTTTTTCCTCCTCTCGGTCGTCTCTCTACGTGCTCTCTTGACTGCCCACGAAGGTGTGTGTTGTTTGCTTAAGTTAAGCTGTGCAAGGAACGCGTTTGCCGTTGTTATGTACAAATGGCACACACACACGCGCACACACACACAGTTGTAGTCTTGTGCTGACACGACAAATCACTCTGGTGGTAACTCCCAGTCAGAATTTCCAAATGTCCGCTCAGAGCAAGACAACAACAGGAAGTATTCAAACCCCGGATTCAACGTTTCCTGTCGTATTGTCCGTTTTCTGCATCTCTAAGCAGAAAACCCTGAACACCCACGAAAACTACTTTTCCCATCAGGCCGCTCTCTCCCAACGAGCATCACCCAGTATGACCTAGTCGGTCACAGGGGGAAGATTTGCTTTTAAGTCCACACATTAATGTAAATGTATCCTCAACAGAAAGTATGATTTCTATAATAGAAACATCCCCATTATTATGTACAGCATTTATATCAGTGCATTCGTACGATTTTACTGTTGGAGCTGGTTGAGGTGGCAGCTTTCACTATGTTCTAAGGTATTTTAGTCCAGTGGTTTCCAAAAAACAAAAATAAGTATTAATTATTCTTGACTTTCTTTAGTGATTCTTTTGCAAACACAAGAAGACGAATTGGAGTGTTTTATCATTTTGGGGAAGACCAAAAATGCTGAAATGAAACAGAAAAATCACTTGACACTGGACACAAAAATACAGTATTCCCCTTTAAAATTAAGTATTTAGTAGTAGTATTACATAGAAATACAGTACAAATAACTCAAAGTTGCACTTTATTACAGTCCTTGGGTAATTCGTTCCTTCCTACCTGCATTAATGCTAATGTTTAGTGCTACAGTTCTTCAGAAGGACGGCTGGGATCCTCCCACACACACACACACACACACTTAATCTCTCTCAGGTCTGCAGTTTGGGCTGTGTGTGTGTGTGTGTGTGTGTGTGTGTGTGTGTGTGTGTGTGTGTGTGCTCAGTGCCCTGCTGTACCTGTCTCTCACGGGCAGGCGGGCCGAGCAGCGGCGTGCACCAACAGAGGGGAGCTATATCCTCCCGTCTGACCGCTCTCCGGCTCTCCTTCCTCTTCTCCTCTCCGCCAACGCGCCTCTTCTGTGATGTTCTCCTCGAGATCGCTGCTCCATTTCGCTCTCACTTCCCTCGCTGTCTGACTGTCTCTGGTTTCATGGGGTGGGGGGGGGACACACGAGGATCCTTTCAGTAATGTTATATGACATTTGGAGGGAGGGTTGAATAGTATTTTTGTTGCATTGTGTGTGCGTGATGTGTTTGTCGGGCATCAATGTTCCAATCGGCGCTCTCCGGGGCTGCTGGGTAGTCACACGGCTAAGATGGCGGCTTCCTCGGGCCTGTTCTGTCCAGCACACCGGATCAGTGTCACTCAAGGATCAATCAGCACACTGAGAGACGCATTGTTCCCGGGCCGCCGGACACGAACTTGCGTTTTCTGTTTGTTAATCTACAATAAAATGGGAGCTCTGAGCATAAACGACACGTGGCGTTGGACTAATGTCAGTTAACATGAACAATAACAAACGTTCTTCCTCAATTTCAGGCTGTGAGGAACCTTAACACTGCCGTGCCTCGTTGCTCATTTCAGGCACAGCGGTAATTATTCCGTGTTCATGGTAAAATAAGGAAGAGGCCAGTAATAGCACTTTTATCTGCTCATAAAGCAATCCGCACTGCAATAACACACAGTTAATACGCAGAGAATCAGGTGCTCCCATCAATCATAAACACAATGTAATGGACAATCTCCCCGGCAACAACTGGAACACTTTAACCCGCCGGGTTGGCGCGGTTACCCAATCAAATCATTGCTCTTTAACTTCCTGTGCAGCGTGCAGCTCTTCGTGAACTTTGAACTCTGTAAATTTCCAGGCGGGTTACGTTCGACCTTCTGCGGCGCCGCAGCAAAGTGGGAGAATAAGGATAAAAGATTCCCACGTGGGTTGTCATCACTTTATAAAATCCTATTTCTTTTAATAGCGGAGGGACGTGGACCGTAAATCTGCACAAGTGAAGGCTTTGATTTGCGCTTGTCACTGTCAATCATTTACCTGTTGCTGCCTCAGTTTGCTTGCTGTCTTACTCTCTCTCTCTCAGTCTCACACCTACACACCCAAAGACGCACACAATCATTGTCTTACTTATATGCAAGTGAAGAGAGGTTATAAAAGAACACCAGAGTGCTGTCGAGTGGACCACCTCCAGAAATAGGCAAATAAATGTATGCTGCTTTTGACATTCGCATAACAACCAGTTCGTGTAAAGGATCAAACTGACTTTGCTGTACAGAGCGTCGACCTTGCAGCGTTAAATCCTTTTTTTTATTTTTTTTTACCACCCAGCAGAACTACCTGCTGTGAATATTGTCCTCCCTTTGTCATCAGTGTGTGAAGATAAGGCTGATAAGCGATGAGGTCATGTTAGCAGTTCACACGATAGAGGGAACAGAGAAAGGGCACTTTGAGTACTGGAAGCAACACAGACGATATAAGTCAAATATTCTTAATAAGGAGAACTGAGTCCTTACTGAGCAGAACGTGCTCAGCAGAACACTAAATCATATTCATATCATTAGGAACAATGTCTCAATGCAGGCTAATGTCAGCTTGACTTATCACGGAGGAGGAAATGGCATCTTATCCTCCCCACTTTTACATCATTTTCGCTGAGGGACACTTTGCAGGTAATTCTATGCTGCCAGTCTTGCCAAGTGAACAGGTGTGTACGTGTGGGATATTGGATCAACCTACATGAGTGTGTGCGTTACCATGGCTGCTCTGCTTGGCAGCGTTTTACCTTTTGTTGACTGCCTCGCCTATTTCCACCAATGTCCAGACAATCCTGTGACGCACTAAACGCACACACTGCCTACTCTGCTACCAACACGCTGTTTTTTATTCGGCCTATTTGCTGGCGTGACATTTGGAGAGTTGCCGTGCGGTCTGCTGTGATTGGCTGCCCTGGGTTTTTGTACGCAGCGTGGCAACTTGGGGACGCAGTGGATTTTCCCCTTCTGAATGCTGGTAGTGTTGGAAAATAGTAAGAGGTTTATGCTTGAGAAGCCGATTTCTGATTGTTCTCTGTTCCTCTTATAGAGCTGCAGCCCTTGATGAAGTGGTGCACACACCTAAACACACACACACACACACACACACACTTGCGTATAAAGCGCTGCGCCCACACACTGTAAAACACTCATAAGATAAAGAAGTTGAAAGTCCAACACCCTCTTGTGGATAGTGTGCAAGAGGTTTGTGTGTTAAATTCATTAATGTGCACAGCTTTTTGCCTAAGATACACAAAATAAATGAATATGTTATATTACCAAAAAAGTCCTCATAAAGCTTAACTCAAAATGGTCTAATTTACTGCTGACACACACACACACACACACACACACACACACACATGCTAACAAACACACCTATATTCAGCATGTGATTTAGTCGTACTCAGTGAACCTTGAGCTGGAGGTTTCAGGGTTTACAGCCCTTCATACTCTCTGATAGGGGTCAGAGGTCAGTATGGGGGCTGAAGAACTCAACAAAACAAGGTTGTAAACCGCTGATAGGACAAGGTGCACTGGGGGATTTATGGATGCTGTATTGTTCTGTCCAAGTTTCTATGGCCTTCGTTACTCTGTTTTGATCAAATTGATAACCTTTGTGTTTCAACATCCCTCCATATCATTTTTTTGTTTGTTGCTACACACACATTTAAAAAATGGCTTCTTCTTCTTCTTATCTTACTTGTATTCTTAAGCAGTTGTCGTTGATTCAATTCGATGTGAGTTGATTCAATTGTCTCTCTTTGCCATCTTTAGGCCCGAATCTGATTGGATGGTTTTGTCAGAATGACAGCCGAAGATCCAGCTTCCTCCTCGACCATGAGCAATAACGCTGCCCCCACTAAACCCCCCCAACCTGCTGGTGCCTCCCACCCGTCTCTTCATGGACAGATCAACACCCCTGAGGGAGTTGCGGGTTCTCCAATTGAGCCTGCACTGGTATCCCTGATGGAGCGCACTGGCTACAGTATGGTCCAGGAAAATGGTCAGCGTAAATATGGCCCCCCTCCTGGTTGGAACGCTACATCTCCACCAAGGGGATGTGAAATCTTTGTGGGCAAGATCCCGCGGGACGTTTATGAGGATGAGCTGGTGCCAGTGTTTGAGTCTGTGGGACGCATCTATGAGATGCGTCTGATGATGGACTTCGATGGGAAGAACAGAGGCTACGCGTTCGTGATGTACACAGAGAAACACGAGGCTAAGCGGGCGGTGCGCGAGCTCAACAACTATGAGGTGAGGCCGGGCCGACTGCTGGGGGTGTGCTCTTCCGTGGACAACTGCCGTCTTTTCATTGGTGGCATCCCCAAGACCAAAAAGCGGGAGGAGATCCTGGACGAGGTCTCCAAGGTGACGGAAGGGGTACTAGATGTGATTGTTTATGCCAGTGCTGCAGACAAGATGAAAAACAGAGGCTTTGCCTTCGTAGAGTATGAATCGCACCGCGCAGCCGCTATGGCTCGCAGGAAGCTGATGCCTGGACGTATTCAGCTTTGGGGTCACCAGATAGCCGTGGACTGGGCCGAGCCGGAGATTGATGTGGACGAAGACGTTATGGAGACAGTGAAGATCCTTTACGTCAGGAATCTTATGATGGAGACCAGCGAGGAGACAATCAGACAGGTGGGGCCGGCCGACTGTTCAGTTTCGAGGTTTCTGTTGGTCAAAATGACCTATCATTACAGGTATTATTACTAACTTACCATTCTAAACCAGTCAATTCCTTTGTCCATCAGGTCTTCAGCCAGTGGAATCATGGGTGTGTTGAACGTGTGAAAAAAATCCGTGACTATGCCTTCGTCCACTTTACCTCACGGGAGGACGCTGTCATGGCAATGGACCACCTCAACGGCACAGAGGTGGAAGGGTCCTGCATCGAGGTGACGCTCGCCAAGCCAGTTGATAAGGAGCAGCACTCGCGTCAAAAGGCCTCCAAGGGCACTCCTGCCACTCCGGAGCCTGCTCCACAGAACTACGTTTACCAGTGTGATCCCTACACATTGGCCTACTACGGGTACCCCTACAACACCCTCATTGGACCCAACAGGGACTACTTCGTCAAAGGTTAGAATGGATTCTTTCTGCTTTCGTACCGGCTATGATGAGTTGCAAAAGCCACAATGTTTCTCTGATCTATTTTTGTAAATACTGGCGGCATCAGAAACTGAATTGTCTTTGGATGACATCTAAAAGATGTTATTAGAGAAATAATGTCTCCATCAATAGGGGGTTATGATTTCTAAATGTCCACGACTGAGGTAACAATGATTTAATCTTGACCAGATTGTTGTTTGACATTTTTTTAATCTTAACCCGATGAGAGTTGTGGCTTTTTTTGTGGCTTAAAATCTGAAACAAGTTGTTAAAAGCACAGACAAAACAAGGTGATGGACCAATGAATGCTAATCCCATTACATTTGATGATGATTAAAGGTGGTCTTTGGGTGGATGCAGGAAGATTTATTTGACTTTCAACAATCATTGTGTTTTGGTTTTTTCTCCAAAGGATCCCCAATGATACAGAACAATGGTAATCTCTCACATCTTTATTCCTACTCACTCCTTCAATGAATAATGACCATTCTTACCATGTGACAAACTATACGTTTTCTAACACCATCCTTTTCCCGCTGTGCTGTCACCTCCCATTTCATGCTGGTTTATCTAGATCGCAACAAAGCTAAGAAATACCGTTTCCCAGTGCCACGAACTTTCATAACTGCATCTAATTAAAGAGTCAGAGAAGTGCTCAGGGAAAAGGCCAAACGGTACCCATAGAATTCCCCAAACATCCTGAGCTCAGAACAGGTATTGTTGGGAATGTGCTTTGTGAGCAGATTTCTGCATTGACTACAGTAAAGGATTCTTCTTGCTACGTCAGTCCTGACATCTCGGGAGGAACTGTCGTAGTTTCATAACCCGTCAGAACATTTTACTCTTCGCTCACAAGACTTTTAGTGTAAGTTGCTCCTCCTGCCCAAGTCCAAAACTCCAACCCCATGTCATCATATTACTTTAATTGTATTTTTAGCAGGTACTGTGCGAGGTCGGGGTCGTGCTGCTGCAGGTAACCGTACCCCTGGACCACGGGGGTCCTACTTGGGGGGTTACTCTGCCGGTCGTGGCATCTACAGTCGCTACCATGAGGGCAAAGCCAAGCAGCCCGAAAAGCCCTATGAGCTGATGCCCACTCTGGAGCTTGCTGCCTCCGTCAACCCTGTTGGCATCAAACATGGCGCAAGTCAGTGAGATAGATACGTCCGTCCATATCCTTGCCCATCTCAAAAGCATTTATCCGACCTTCCAGCTCACCATTTTCTGTCTCTCCCTCCTGTCGGTTTGAGGAACATTTTTTAAATCAAGATTATGGTTTTTGCTAGATGGTCAGGCACAAAAGGACTTCCCTTCTCTCTGGAGTTAAGACAAATTATGAATGAAAACGTCTGTCCTTTCAAGCACGACCAGAAAGTAACGGCTATAATTCTTACCTCCTTCGTTCCTTTTCCCTCCTCATAAGGACAAATTGTCTCACCAAAAACAGCACTGTGTTAGAAAAACATGCGCGGTTGCAATGTTGAGACAACTTACAGACTATCGGACGCAGAACTACTGCGCTGTGGTTTTAGCACTTTCTTTAGCCTTCTGATAAACGTACAAAGTAATCCACCTGGAACACGTCACATTGGCCCGAAGACGCATGTATGGTGCTGAGGTAAAGACCTTTTTCTGATGAGAACAAATTTATTTTTTATTTAATTTTATTGCATTTTGGGAACCCCCCCAATTCATTGACTATTTTGAACTTCGTGAGGAAGACATTTTTCTTAATGCAGTGCTGTTATCCGTCTGAACGTGGCCGTGGTTATGTAGGCATCAGTTCTTCCATGTCTCCTTTTACACATGCACTCAACTCCAAATTCTTACTGAAAGGTAGTTGATAGTATCTTGAGTCTAAAAGAAATATATATATTTGCTTTCCATTATATGAATAGAAAAGTTATTTTTTTTAATTCAATGTCTTTAATTCTCTAATTCTCTGCATCTGCTTTAGCTTTCTCAACGACACTTTCAGTTAGAACGGAGTTGAAATGCAAAACGAAACTATTCGGATCACTTAAATGATAATGTGTATACATTGAGTGGAAATGATCACTTGCATGATTTTGATTTGTTTTGTCAAAATTAGGTTAACAATGAAAAGCATAGGTTGAAATGAGCTGCATGTCAAACTATGTTCAAGTCAATATTAGTGTGACATATTTGGTGATATATTGGTCCATATTGCACAGTGAGCTTTCCTGATGCTCGTTTCAGAGCGAGTTGACCCCAATCTACAGCTCCCTTTTAGTCCCTGTGGAATCACAGGATCCCCACCAGAATGAAAAGACTTTTGTTCATCTGAAACAATAAGTGACGTTGTGCTTCTATGTGTGTGCCCCCGCGTGTGCGTGTGTGTGTGTGCGTGTATGTTTGTGTGTAAGTGTTGGAGCACTGAGGTTAATCCACAGTTGAGAACCATCTTAATCCGAATCACAACTCAAACTTGTGCAACTTATTATTTTTCCCCTTCTTCACTAAATTGTTTCCTTTCCCCTCCATTGCTTTAGCAGTGACTACTTTCATGTCCTCAGACCTGAGAATGCATGTTTCTGTTTGGACACGGGTGCACGTGCAGGCTATTATTACACGAGCATTTCCTGCTACATTCTGTTGTTTGCAGAGCCTCATCCGTGTGTCTTTCTGTGCAGTGGCGTTGCAGACGCTGGGTGGACAGTACCCGGTGTTCAGTGCGGCTCCTACAGCCAAGTTGATGGAGGAGGGGAAGGTGCACACGGTGGAGCACCTCATCAACCCCCTGGCTATGCAACACGCTGACCACACCGCCGCTACTGCTGCTGCCACCGTCATGCCGTCGGTCTCTACCCCTCCACCCTTTCAGGTTTGCATTATGACTCCATCACCTTCATGCAATTTGTCCAAATTGACTCACAATGTAAAACACAGAGTGCCAATTCAGGCCCTTTTTGCTTGATGCAGACGACGTGGCTGAAAGGTTTTTGCATCATCGAATATCTAGGATCAGATTTTACCCCAAACTCCTCGTGAACATGAAAAGAGTTCTGCACAACCTTGCATTCCTTGTCCAAACCTGAGGCCTACACAGCGAGGCAAAGTGCCAACCCTTCCTGTGTCTTATTTCAGAAAGAATACGCACGGCGCGAGGCGAATAATTATTTGATCCCTTTTGAATTTAGCCATTAATTAAACATGGAGTATGCTTTACAGCGTGCTTGGTGATTGACAGGTTGCTACTGATACCAGAGGCGTGTACGGTGTCTCTGTGTCACTCGTCTGCTTTCCAAATATGGTCCACAAACTTTGGTGACGTCACAATGACTACGTCCTGTTCTTGTATGGAATCGAGTAGTTTCACACAAACCTGAAAGATAATGTGGCAAAACCTCAGACCAACTGTGACTCTCTTGACAAAAACTAATTCACAGCAAGAATCCTACGGGATAAAAGTGATATTTGTCCGTTGCTGTTGACTACCGACAACCGGCCTGGAGTAGAAATGAGGAGGATCCGTATCCGTACTCTGGTCACAGTACGAATCAGAACTCATTCTCACATTCATTCAACGAATGTGTGCTTAGGAGATCGTCTTATTCACCACAGTCCTCCTTTTTCTGCTTTCCCCAGGGCCGTCCCATCACTCCGGTCTACGCCATGGCCCACAACGTGCAGCGTATCCCAACGGCCGCCGGCCTGTACGCAGGCGGATACGTCCCCATAACAAACTACGCCGCCAACTCAGCGGCTCTGGCCGCCCTGCAGAAGAACGCGGCGGTGGCAGCCGCGGCGTACGGCGGCTACGCGGGCTACGCCATGCCGCAGGCCTTCCCCGCCGCCGCCTTCCAGCTGCCCATCCACGACGTGTACCAGACGTATTGATCGGTGGGGTCGAAGCGTCGCGATGCAATGACGAGCAAAGTTACTCCGACTGAAGCGCCACCGCCGTGTCTGTGCGGAAGCGTCACTTGATCGTTCTTTCGTTGAGATATCTAGAAAACAAATGAAAACAATGACCCACTCCAGTAGACCCTTGACCCGAGGCCACAATACGACAGGCTCCCTTTAGCTGCGTCGCGGTTTCGTAGCTCACATCGTCAGTAAAGCGCACCTGCACGTGGTGACCATCGTCCCCCGACAACAGTGACACCCACCTGGGGGCGTTGCTCCGCCTCTCCCTGTGCCTCCCAGCCCTGACAGAGTGTTGCCATAGCAACGGAAACACTGAAGGTACTTTCAAATATTTATGATGAGAGGATCCATATTTAAAGTTTTGCTCTCTGTAGGTTTCTCTGATTACCGGAGAAACGTTTGCTCTGTGAAAGCAGGAAAGTTTGACATTGACACCATTTAAATTTGAACAAAGGTGGGGATGAAGAGAAACGTTATATAACATTATAACTACTGGCAGCGATGCTGAAGACAGCTGCGTTTTAACATACTAATGTTTTAATTAATACAGAGTATTTTAGCCAATTCTACATAGGTGATGCTGCCCGTCCATGCTGGTCGATCGTGTAAGCCTGTTTCGGTACTTTATGTTTGGTTTATGTCGTTTTATTGGTGTTTCTTCGTTGGTTTTAAATGAAGGTTTTCGAGTGTCGTGTTCATTCGCTCAAGATTAGTCAACTCGGGGGAAAAAGTCTTGTGGAATATTTTTGCGGTAGATTCCTCTACGGAACAAATGCGAGAAACTGGAAGACTTTTTGTCAAGAGGATTTGGTCCATAAGCCTGGTCGACATTTAGCCCATAGTGGATTGAACACCTTTTGACTTTTTATCATTTACAAATGCCTTTATTATTGTGTTGTTAGTTACTCTTGGAAGGTGAACAAATATGGACAGGAAAGACTCTTTTTTTAGGTGGACCATGACACTACGCCAATTCAAGCGAAAGAGAAAGTCGGCTCCAAACACTCCGGTCGCCCGATATGAGAAGGATCCTCTGTGCCTAAACACGCTGTACGTGCTACCTCGTGCTTTCACCGTGCCTTTTATACGACGGCACAAAGAGAGAAGATCTCCTTTCCTATTTCCAACCACTTGTGCCCTTGCTGTTTTTTGGTTCTTCAGTCTGCGCGGTCGAACTCTTCTCCGTATATCTGCCCTCCACATTGTTTCCCGTCCGCCAAACTGTGCTTGACTGAGGTGTTTTTAGACGTATTTATAAAAGGCAGCAGATTGTAACAACAAGATGAAGACATGTTTGATACCAAGCAACACGTTTTCATGTAAATCGGGCCAGTTTGGCATTTCTCGACTCCTCACGTGTGGGCACTTTTTTAAACCGTGCCTTGTGTCGGAAAACCAGCGTTGGCGTTCGCTCGCGCTCCAACCTGCGAGCAGACCAACAAAGGTAACGGATGCGAGCAGACTCCACAACAGCCATCTTTTAAAAAAAGAGAATGCAAAGACTTTTGTGTACTAGATTGTATTTGTCAACCACTTTTATGGTAGTTGTTTTTATTCTGCATGTTCGAAGAGCGTATTTTTTTTGGCTCGCCTTCATCGACAGATTTTTTACTTTGAAAAGACAATATCATGCGTCTGACTTTGAGAATATCCTTCATGACTAAGTTTTGTGTCCGAGTTGTTTAATGAAAAGTAGATTTTCAACAGCAAACATCTAACATCTCACACCGTCGTTTATCTCCTTTAAAACTGGATTTTTGTGTAGAAATACAGCTGATAACTACTTTTATTATATTCTTGTATGATGACAATTAGTCAGGATATATATATTTAATATATATGCATTATGTGTTTTGTCTATGAAGTGCAAAGAAAAGGTATAATATATTCAGAAACATATTTCCTTTCTTTATTTACACCTTGTTTTACGATAATAAAAAGTCAGAGTAACAAAAGTAGAGAAACAACTTTTTCTTTCTTTTTTTTTTGCCAAAGTGTCCAATAGCTTTTAAAACATTCAAGGTTATGATGTTTTTTTCATTGTGTGTCTTATTCTGTTAGCTATTTTGTACTGCATTTGGTGTTCGGTGGGAAAACGGAGGCCTTCTTGTTTAGCTAAATCATGATTTAGTCGCCATCCAAACTTCATGTCTCTGCCTCCCAATCGCATCGCCGGCTTTTCTTTTTATTGCTTGCATTCGACCCAAATGATGGACTCCTGCTCCCTGGGTCAGCGGGTCAGACCTTTATATGCCTAGTTTAACGTAGGTGTTGCCATTAAACACTTCCTAGTGTGTGCCTTATTGCCAAGATGTGCCCTTTGCTACGCAGACTGTTTTCTATCTGAAGGTTTGTTTGAAAAAAAAAAAAAGAAGAAAAAAAGCTTGTTCTGTATTGTTGTATTTATAGCGATGAAGTAGATAAATAAAGCATTTTCAAAAAGGATTCGCCGCTTGCATTCATTTTTTCCAAACACTCGAGTCAGCTGGCCTTTGTTCATATATATATATATATTTATTGTGCAGAATAAACCGCACAACCAGGACTTGTTGAAAGAATCTGAGTTCTCCTGAAAGGCCCGAAGGACTTTGACTCCAACCCCTGAGAATGAAAACCCAACCCTGACCCGACACATGGGCTACTTATGCAACGAGTCGTGATGCGGCGAGCAGAGAGCGCAGTGCTGGGAGAATGTTTCAGAAACTTCTCCGTGGCCGGTCAACTTTACCCTAGAAACATGTTGTACCCGAGCAAAGAGTTCAGGGAGGCTTTAAAGTAGCCTTCAGACCAGAGTACAATGTGTGCAGGAGGCCCGTCAGGTACAGGGAGGGCCTTTCAGCCAACTGTTTTATCATTGAAATGTGGCGAAAGGTTACAAAAAGAAACAACCTGCCCAACTATTAGATCGCATGGTTAGTCTTCCAATCACTCATTCGCAGTAACATATCAATACAAATATCGTTCTCAAGTTAAATAATGGATGCAAGCTCTTGCTCCGCTTTGTCTGTGCAATGATCGCCTTGCTAGTTTCCACAATAAACTATTTCATCTTACCGTTCATGTCTGGTTTTAACATGCATGCAAATAGGAAATAATTAGAAAACGGTATAAATGCACAATGTCAGTTAGATTAATACTAATATGTCTGTACATGATTGCACATTATCTGGTGTTTATAAGAAACAGTGGTATAAATATTGGGGTTTCTGGTTGTGGCATTTAATGATATTCGATCAAAAAACTAATGTTGTGGTTTTGCCCAACCGACTTTCTACAATCCTGTGTCCACACAGCTGAAAAACTGTACTGTAACTGTACCAAAGACAAGAAGCAAGTGAGTTTATTTCCTGTGACGATTATCTCTGACATAACGCTTTCAAAAATACATCAACAACATACCGGCTTTGTCACACTGATCAATGGCAAGTGAAGGATTCTAATCCAAGTCAGGGAGACATGAGTTGAGTTATACATTTAACACAACATCACCATCTGGTGGTAGACGCACGGCGTCAGAGCGGCCTGCAGCAAAGCAGGTACATGTTTTCACTGGCGGCCATATTGGCTCCACAGTCAGAAATACGGAATATACTGTTTTTTTATTGTCGTGAAAATGGAAATTCCCCACATACAATAAATATATTATCTTACATTTTGAGTGTTTAGAGCATCATAAAAACACCAATAAACTTCAGGCTGGGACATCAAATACACAAACCCAACATGAAAAATGTAATTTCACGTGGTTTTAATGTAAGTAGCAGGGAAAGCCTTTTGCATGCTTGGAACATTTTCACATAAATATATTAAGAATTTCTTCTTTTTTGCAACAGCCGTTAATGGTGCTTTAAATTCAGATAATTTGGGCTGTTTCTTGGCTGTTTCTTTCTTTGGGCTGCCCTTGTAAAATACATTTTAAATAGGACTATACTACATAATGTTAAATATATATTCATTTTCAATAGCTACTGTGTTATTTGTTAAATGAAATTCCAATAGTAATCCTACGCATGGTCCTTTATTCATTTTTAATTAAAAAAAGCAATAACAGCAAAGATTATAGCAATACCCTTAAAAACAATGTCCGAGTTGTGTTGATCTAACTTTCACTACAGTTCCCACAATGCATTCGACCGCGCGAGCGACGCCGAAGCACCGCCTGCAGCGATCTTCACAGATGTACAAACAATACGGCTGGGCTGACTCGTTTCGCCAAGACGCCAAAGCGACATCCGCATGGTTGTGAGAGCTGCTGGGGGGCGGAGTCTTTCCGCAACGTAACCGCAGTTTACGTTTGGCTTAAAGGAGACGCAACAAAGCGCACAAAATGGCTGTGCGCCGAGCCCGGGCGAATAAGTAGCTTTACTATAGCTTTAAGAACGGGAAAATAGTGTCTGCTTCTTTAAAATCATATCGGGTTATTACTGAATAGATAATTAAGAAAAGTTTTTAATTGCTAACCAATTAATATATGCCTTTAATTTGCGACGCACCCAAGGCATTCACAGAAAATGCCCCACTGTTGGATAAAGGCCGCTTGCGATCAAAACAATCGTCTTCAAACCAGATGTCGTCCGTTTTAACTAAAATCGCAAGTAAACCTGCTTGGCTTTGAGCTGAAGTGGAAGTAGGCTGAGGTATCTTCGCGGTAATGGAACCAGCAGGCGACCGAACCGGGGGTGTAAATAAAGGTGACGAACCGGCGCAGGACAAGGCCACGGAACGGACCGCGGCCACCAGTCTGACCGTTACCCCGCGGAGGGGGCTCAGAGAGCGGGGAGCGTGCCGCTCGAGGACCGCCGTCCGCGCTTCACTAACCGAGGTTAACGGAGCAGCATCCGGCCCGCAGAGCTCGGGGCGGGTGTTGAGAGACCGATCAACGAGGGCAGTGCCGGCCTGGCTAAAGGACACCAAGAGCGAAGACGAAGACGAACCGAGCCCGGACACCGGCGCGACGAAGCGGAGGAAAGTTTCCAACCCGAGGAGGAAGAAACCCTCCGAATGTGGCGAGGCTGGCGGGGGGGTCGCAGGTGACCGCCTTCGCGGCACAGAGTACGTGTTGACCGCGAACAGAGCAGCGCGCGCGTCTTATAACGAGCAGCACTGCGTGTTTGTGCTCCTGTCAGAAGCGCGTCCCCTTCCTGCAGCTTTGCATGGGGGGGGAGGGGGCACTCACCTGGTTTACTAATGAAAGTGTTTTTAATACTAAATGTATTGCTGCATAAAAGGAAAGGTTGGCATGTGAGTAGTCTGTTTTTTCTTCCGTTCTTGCAGCTCAGGGGACCCCAAGAAACCTGCAACAGATGCTCCAGGTATGTGTGGGGGGGGCATCCTGCTACATTTAAGTCAAACCTCATCCTGTGTGTGACAGCCGCCTGGTGGGATTGTTTGTTTGTGTGACGTGCGGTCCTGCTCCCTCGCTCCAGCTCTACCCTCCACCAGACGCCCCCCAGCCCAGAGCCGGGCCAAGCCCCCGTCCGCCAGGGCTGTGCGCGGTTCTGCCAAGCCTGTGTGCAAGACTGAACCCGGAACGGAGAATCCAGCCGGTGAGCAACCTGATGACGGCGAGCCCCATCTGGGAGTCCTAAACATGCAGGATATTCTCTGTCCAACACCTTGTGTTTGCCACATGGGATCAGTGATACTTTTTGAGCTACAAATGTGGGCGCAATCTTTTCTTGGTCGCTCACTCCCACTCGAGGTCCGCTCGTCGCAGTGTCCCTCTGCGAGACAGAGATGATGTCGTCACGTATTTTTACTAACCTACTGTACCTTTACTTAGTCTGACCACTAAAAGCTCTAATGTCATCATTCATACGCTGACGATCCACCTGCTCGTCAGTAACTTAACATTCACACACTGTAGTTCCAAACTGCCGACATTTGAGGGATCGTATTAATGTGATGAAGAATATTTGATTTGAGATCTGTGTGGCCTCTCCCTCTTTTTTTTGCCTTGCAGCAGAGAAAGGAGAGGTAGAAACCAAAGACCGCTATGAAATGTGAGTATACTGTGTCATATCTCGCTCAGGTACTTAGGACCCTCTGCTCTAGAAGCCCACTGCTTTGTATGTTGCCGACGGGTGTGACTACGTGCAAATGTGTCTTTGTGCTCCTGCTGCCTCAGTCAAAAGAAAGAGGAGGGAACTGAGGACCTCACTGAGCCGGTCTCCGATGACGAAGACCCTCCGCTCGGGGAGGACCTGGACGACCTCCGCTACCAGCCACAGAGTCCGAGGTACGCTCCTCTCCGGTGGGTCCACGGGAGGCTCTGCACACACACAGTTCTGCTTCAACACATTTGGTTGTTTTGCTCTTAGTGGTGCGGAGGAGGAGGAGGAGGAGGAAGAAGAAGAAGAAGGTCTCAGCAGCGATGAAGATCTCCCTTTTACAGACGACCTAAACGACCAAAGCTACGACCCGGACGCTGAGCGGTGTGTGTGCGAGTGTGTGTGTGTGTGTGTGGCTAAATTAGACGTAGACGTCATATTATTCAGTGACGGGACGTTCCTCCATCTTTTTAAGGGACGTATCAAAACCAAAGCGAAGAGCTCCGCTGAGAGCGAAGGAGAGGAAGGAGAAAGAGAGGGCGCTTAAAAGCGAGAAGGAGGTCGCCGAGATAAAGGTCGAGGGTTTGGACAACGTGGAGAGTTTGGAAGAGGAAGTGAAGCTCGAGGAAGAACCAGTAGACGACCCGGATGGACCCAGGAAGTAAGTGTTACCAAGGTGCTTTGAATCTGAATGCAATGTGTGCGTCTCTGATAGAATCTGGATTGTCTTTTATTAATCGTTTTGTCCGTGTTAGGAGAGGCAGGCGGAAAAAAGATGACAAAACCCCACGGCTGCCGAAGAGGAGGTGAGTTTGAGGGGGTCACAATCCCAACTGCAACCCCATGACTGCTGATGTGCTATTTGTAAGAGCCGCTAGTTGAATTCATTTAAGGGTGGAGATGATGGCAGGCGGAGGTCTCTGTCTGCGTGCTCATAGACTCTGCCCCACACAGGAAGAAGCCCCCGGTGCAGTATGTGCGCTGTGAAATGGAGGGATGCGGGACGGTCCTGGCTCATCCTCGGTACCTGCAGGTCCGTCATGCATCCGCACGATCCCACCGAGGACCGTAGAATAGAGCGCACCATAAGAGCGTTATGTCTGTTGTCGGCACGCTGGCTTCCTGTCCTTCTGTTCCCAATGGGCCGTGTTTCTTTTGTCTGGCACACTAGCACCACATTAAGTACCAGCACCTGCTCAAGAAGAAGTACGTGTGTCCTCACCCCTCCTGTGGGCGGCTTTTCCGGCTGCAGAAGCAGCTGCTACGTCATGCAAAGCACCACACAGGTACCCAACACTGCTCAATAAGCGCCTGAGGATTTCTTGCTGTAATTACTGCTGAAGTTCAATGCAGCTAGAAGAGTTTTGTTTCATTGCTTTTAGACCAGCGGGACTACATTTGTGAGTTCTGCGCACGTGCCTTCAAAAGCTCCCACAACCTGGCTGTGCACCGCATGATTCACACTGGAGAAAAGCCGCTGCAGTGAGTAGACGCCGTATTGGTCATTCCCTTTCTTCTCCAACCCATTTCTTCCCTTTTGCTAAACGAACTTTGGATATTTTGCCGTAGGTGTGAGATCTGTGGCTTCACGTGCCGCCAGAAGGCGTCGCTCAACTGGCACATGAAGAAGCACGACGCCGACGCCACTTATCAGTTCGCCTGCTCCATTTGTGGCAAGAAGTTTGAGAAAAAAGACTGCGTGGTGGCCCACAAGGCCAAGAGTCACCCCGAGGTGCTGATTGCAGAGGCTCTGGCAGCCAACGCTGGCGCCCTCATCACCACCCCTGCGTCCCTGCTGGAGTTGCAGGGAAACCCCGTGCCGGCGGAGCCCGCCGGCCTGGATGTGCACCACATGGGGCACGGCGGGCAGGTGGAGCAGCTGAGCCAACAGGTGAGTCACCAGGTGGTTTTACTGGGACAAGACCAGAGCCTCCATACCATGCAGGTGCCCGTGACGATTGCCCTGTCCGCCATCAACCCGCCTCTGCCAGCCGAGAGCCATCAGCAGACCCACCTCCAGCTGCAGATGCCGGTCCAGTTTGTGCATGCCGCTCCGCAGCCCCAGATCCAACAGCTGACGCTCCACCCCGGCCAGGTGGTTACCCCGCATCAACCCCAGCTGCACCCTCTGCAGGCGTACTCCTCCCAGCAGCAGGGCCAGACACAGATCCTTCAAATGACCTTCCAGCCGCTCAGCCAGTCTCAGACGCACGTCCAGCAGGTCCCCATTCAATCGACCGCGCAGCAGCTTCGGGCCCTTGATGCAGCTGCTGTGAGCTCGCCTCTCCTGGCCCCGCCCCCGCCCCAGGACGCGGCCTCCAGTAACGGGGACAGCTTCATTCTGGACCATCCGGTGCTCTCGTCGTCGTCCCCGTCGACCAGCTCCCTCGCACAAACCGACGCAATGGGGGGCGACGGCGTAGCCTGGGGACAGGAGGGACACGAGGACGTTCTGTCGGACAGCGTCGAAAGACAGTCCCTCATGTAAAAGGACAGCGAACCCCAAAAACAGCTGGTAGAAGAAGGTTGTCCCCGGTGATCCGATGTGCCGCTTGGCATTGTTTTTAGGTAAATGTGAGATGGTGTATTACGTAACATTCACTCTGACATATTTGGTAGCTTTTTAGAACGCGAGTGTGTGTGTGTGTGTGTGTGTGTCCCTTGTACAGAAGTCTGGTAAACTGAACTAGCATTTCACGTGAGTGTTTAACAATGAGAGGTTATGTTGCAAAGAGGTTGTGGTTATGCAATAATATTAGATAACTAAGTAATATAAAGTGCACATCCAGTGTGTTCCTAGTAAAATAAATGAGCTCTATTTCTCACAAATAACACAAAACACGGCTATAAACTGACAACAACACATTTGGGGTGAGAATCGGTTAAAGAAAATAATAATAGGCAACTTTTTTATTTTCCAGATTTATTGCTGTTTGGAAAAGTTAAAAGAAAATGTCAAACAATCTCAAAAGAAACATTTGAAAGCCTAAAAAGAAAAAGTTTTACAGGTGTAAAAAGTGCCACTACACCAACACCTAATGTATATACACTACTCACACCCCAGGATGCTGTAGATCACGCACACAAACCCGTAAAATAACAGACAAGCTCAGTCGGCGCTCGACTTATTAAAAGTGTCATGTGATTTGATAAGCAAAGCTGTGTAGGAACCTCGTTGTCAAAACCCAACTTGCACCTCCTCTGGCTTGTGATTTAGGATGTGTGGTAGAGCAAACACAACTATTCACTTATGGAAATAAAAATCAACATTGACCCAAAGTGTATATTCACTGACGTGAACGAACACGGAATCAAATAAACCCGAGGAACCCCCACCGGCCGTCTCCAGCTGCAACGGTTACGTTTCAGTGGGATGAAAAGCGTGTCTTTCGGGTGTAACGCTGCTGTGTGCCTGAGTCCCTATCTCTGGTCCCCTTACTGCGAAGGGGACGTCTCTACGGGAGAGGACAACTGCTATGAGGCCCATCTGGACCCATCAGGACATGTTGAGCTGCTCTCTGCCCCTCTGCGTGACGTACTGCTTCATTGCTCGCTTAGGAGGAGTCAAGGTGTCACTCAGTCCGACCTTCCTCTTCCTCCCCTGCCGCCCCGCGGACCCTTCCTCCTGCTCCTTAGTCTGCCGGAGGTCCTGGGATCCCCCTGCGCGGCACTCGGCCTGATCCGAACCGGGCGTCCCGTCGCTCGCGGCCGGTTGTCGGTCCGTCTGGAGGTCACTGTCGTGGGCGAACTTGCACTTGATCCCAAAGCGGCACCGTCCGTTCTTCCTGTAGGACACGCACACCTTCTTACCCCCGATCTCCGAGGGTTTGGCCTGCATCGTGAGCGGGACGTGCTTCTGCAGAGCGCAGAGCTTCCGGTCCGCCTGCGCCTTGAAGGGATTCGCGAACACGCCGCTGTCGGAGGAGGTGTTCAGGGAGGGGGGAGGCAGCTTGTGGGAGGCGAGGGGGCTCGGGAGCGAGGAGGGCGCGGTGGGCCGGAATGCCACAGAGGACGCCGGTGCGCGGGGGTGCGCGGGCGACGAAGGGAGTCCCGCGTGCTCGGCCTCTGGTTCGGACCCGCTGGACGCGGAACCGGACTCCAGCAGGAAGTTGCGGGGTTTTCTGGCAGTCGACGACTCGCCGCCCAGTAAACTGCTTTTCATAAAAGAAGAAGAAGTTAACTGGCGTTAACACATGCGCGTGGTACTCCGCGTTACGTGCACGGTGTGCTTCGTGTACGCACTTACCAAGCGCCCCCATAGTTCGCGTACTCCGCGTCCCCGTCGCTGTCGGACTCGGAGGACACTCCGTAGCCCACCAGGGAGCTCATGGCTACGCTAGCTAACGTTAGCGGCTCGGCTCGGCCTCTGGATTAACGCACACCGGTACTGTTCCTCGGTTTCCTGTAATCTTCCGGGAAACGGTTAAATGCGTTGAAGTCACACCGCGGGGAAATATTTAAACATTCCCATCTCCTTTAGGAACGAGCTAAACGCCGAATTGAAGGTCCTGTGTAAGCGGCTGCTATTCAGTCGGTGCGCCGCTCCCCCAGTGTCACCGCGCGCACTGCCGCCTGCAGGACAGGAGGGACATTGCACGGCGTATAAAGAGATTTTATATATATATAATTATTATATTATAATATAATAATTATATATATAATTATATTATAATATAATAATTATATATATAATATAATAATTATATATATAATTATATAATAATTATATAATATAGTGAGGTCCTTCATTGATTTATTACTTGTGTGATGCACTGAGGAATGTTTTAAAAGACTAACTTTCTTATGTCTTCATTAATTTGCTAATATGCCTCTAATCTTTAGCCCACAGCATCAAACGACCTGCCCGAAGAGCCTCGATGGTGTATGTAATGGTAAAAATATGTTATAACATTGTTTTGTGCTAAAGCCGTGTCTCAAGTGTCCTGTATTTGACCCTGATGTGCAAAGATGATACAAAATGTTAGTTTGCAGCTGTGCCCTGAGAAGGGAGGACGGTCGACTCGATCTCATAGAAGCTTCAAAACAAAGGACTTCTGTTCATGGCCTTGGTTCATATCTTATTCGGTACGAAAGTTCCGGATCCAAGTTTTACTTTCATGTCAAGTAATTATGATTTGCAGCGGCCACTGAGGAGGATCTTGTGTGTGTGTGTTACCCTCAGCTTCACCTGGGTTCTTATCTCAACCTGCTTTGCAGCTTCTCGTAACTGGCACGGAGAATGTTCTCCACATGTGTATAAAAACTCAGCGTCTTTAGTGCTCGGAGACGCCATTTCCACAGAGCACCGTGATACGTGCCTGTGTATTTGACCTCCTGCTTGCAAGCGATAAATGGACTTTTTGCAACTTTGATCATTCATCAAGACTCTGTTTTATCAGACAAATCATTCTCTTCTACCGAGCTTTTATTGAAATATTCCATAACATGTATTTTTTAGATTTGACCGTTATGTAACATAAGGTGAAATATAAAGCCCTTTAACACTTGATAGGACATTTTGACCAAGTTTTTAAAATAACATTGCACATATGAATTGGCTTTATTGTAACATACTATTATGTGTACACTACAGTCCCTTGCAGAGAGAATATTATTTGAGCTATGTATCAGTGCACTTTTGCGGCTCTTTTTTAAATTAATTCATCCAATGAATTGCTTCTTTACAGTCTGTGTACAGGTTTACGTTACATTCAGTGTGTGACGGTTCTATCTGATGCTGGTTCTATCTGATGCTGGTTCTATCTGAAGGTTGTTCCTGCAGTGGTCCTACCTTCCACTGGGCTCACTATTATCAATAGTTCAGTCATGAATTGGAGAGCAGATCCCTCCTCTGCCGTTCTCCCTAAAGATTCTTCTTTTTCTCCGCGTTGAAGGTTTTTTCATTATCGTATAATGAGTTTTTCCTGTGGTGACGTGAGGATTTCGGGACGTCACGTGTACTGACTGTATAATTTGTGATTTTGGGCTGTACAAAGCTAAATAAATAAATAATGCAAATGGTTTAGAATTTTAATGACTGAATCCAAGTGGCCGTTTGTCTCTTACAGTGGTAACACCAGGCGGGAAAAGGCCGTCTCTGGAATATGAATAGTGGCTGGACTCCATTCACCTGTTGCCGTATGTCTCTGACATTGTGCATGTTGCTTCCTGGCAGTCTAAATGCAACAAACCAGACCCTTCCGTAATGCCGCTGGTCACACACTGTGTCTTTTCTACAATGACCTGACATTTTAATTGATTTATTTCTCTATGAGCTCGTTACCGATATGCAGATAAACTTCAATGAAGAGAAGACATCTATTCATTAAAACCCTATTTGTGCTTGTAGGTTCTTTTTTATAGCAGTACCACAGCAGCAGTGTGCTTGTGGCTTGCCGGAGGTGGAGTTTTTTGGAACTAAGATGCTGTTGGGACATGTTCATACTTTCTAGACACATCGAGTATGCTAAAAGAAGACGTGTTAATATGTCGGGGTGGAGAGGGGTGCGTTGGGAACCGCAAGGTTGGTGGTTTGAGTCCTGGTTGTCCCATGTTGAGGTGTTCCTGAGCAAGACACCGAACCCCGGGGGTAAAAATGTAATGTACGGGACGCTTTCAGCTGAATGACCGGTAATGTGGTCCAGGCGGTATCCTACTTAACCTGACACCGTATTTGCCTTGGCCACTTCCAGTAAGATAAGCGCATCGTGAAGCTCATGACCTCCACCCTCCCCTTTCCTCCCCTTTCCTCCCCCGCTCATCCCACCAAATTCCATCATCATCAAGTTGTCGGGCGCTGGGCGGGTAGCTGGCTGCTTTCAACACGAGACACGGCGCAGTTACGACGATTCTCACTCCCGCCAAACCCCGAGGAGGCGACACGCGGCCGGAACCCATGAGCGGGAAACACGCGCGGCGGGCGCGGGACGGTCGCGCGCGGGCTTCACGGCGGGACGGCCCGACGCTTCGCTCCTCCCCGGTAGACGCGCCCGCGGCTCCGACGACGGCAGCCGGGCGCCCGAGCCGGGCGGCCGTGGCGAGGGCGTCCGCCATAGCCGAGCTGCTGCGCTACGAGTGCTCCGTCCTACTGGAGCTGTATGTGAGTACAGGAGCCCGTGGTTCTGCGGTCCAATGGAAAATGTAATGTAATTGTCATTACAACGTGTCATGGGTGTAACTTTGCCTGTGCGTGCTTGTCTCTGTGTGTTTGGAGAATGATGAAATGCAAAAACAAGGTAATGGCGAGTGTATGCGACAGAAATAAATCACCTGTATTGTAGGACAGCAACAAGTATGAATGTAAAGGGTGTAGGGGGGGGGGGGGGGGGTGGCCAATAATTTCCTGGCCCAAACTCCTTTAAGAAGACCTTCCCACAAACCCTTTGCCCCCGCATGCGTGCTGGCAGTCAGTGAAACGTTCCTGGTGCCCGGGCAGCTGGCTGCCTCCATCTGCCCTTTCATGTCTGGCCGGGGCGGAGGTTAGCAGGCCTGGCATATTGCACCACCCTCCCCACTCCCTGGGGTTTGACCCCTCCGCTCCTCGGCCCACCCCGTCTTCCTCTGGCGTTTCTTCTTATTCTCACGTGGGTTTTGTTTTGCATCACCGACTCGGTGGGGCATCGAAAGCGAAGACGCATTCCAGTGAACGCACCGTGGACCGATCGGATGTGTCTCAGCCTGTTGACGGCCCACGTTCTCTCACCTCAGGGGGTTGTTGCGTTCGAATGAAGAAACGCCGGATGGACGTTAAAATCAAAGGTATTTGATAAAAGAAAGCGTGTTGTGGTAAAAAGAACGTCTCAGCCGAGGAGCCGCTGGTCTCTGCAACCAACAGGCCACAGGGCCCTTTGACCCCCCATAGTGCCCGTCTGCTGCCTCCACCAGCGAACTCCAGAACAGTGGTTGTCTACAGGTATTTATACACATCCGTGTGAAAGTACAGCCTAGTTTATGCTTCTGCGTTTTCGAGAGCCCTTGCGTGTCCCTTGCGGGCCTTTTCACACCTCCTTGCGTACTTGCGTCGACCCATTTTTCTGGACTTGCGTCAAAATGCCTCCTGCAGCCCGCAAGGCTGCGATTGGTCTGCTAAGGTCCCGAGTTTTTAAAAGGAAGATTTTTGAAGAGAGAACGAATCAGATTGAAGAGCCTTTGTCGGAAGAAATGCATAAATATGACCGCTTATACAAGCCAAGTTATTGGCGGACGATAAGGACGCGCGGACGGCCTCCGATTCGTGGAGGGATTCATCTCCGCAAACGAGAGGAACAAAGTTGTGGAGGAAAATACGGGACAAATGTGTCCGTGATGAAAAGCAGCAGTGTCAATAAAGTCTATGATAAATAAATAAACACACCAACGACTTCCACACACAAAGACGTGACTCTGTGGTATTATTCTATTGATTACAGTTTAAAAATTACAGTGGTTTTACAATACTGTCATTACTTTATTGATTACACAGTTCCAGAATCATGGCTGTATTCTGGTGTACACTAAATGCATTTTATTCATTTATCAACCGGCTCGTCAGTTTATTTCTAATATCCTACACGGTGCAGCAATGTCTCTGAAGTAGGTTTTCGTTCAGGCTCGTGGAGCTGCGTATTGAATATTTGTTGCTGAACATGTACTCCGTTATCGCTGCATCGTCTTATTGCCGTTTCTGCCGCGTTGACACACAAGAAAAAGGAGCAGCAGAGGTCCCACAGTCTGAGTGGTTTGCAATAACTCCCCCACACCCCCAACTCCCCCTTTCAGAGTGTTGGGGTCACATACAGGCCACTGTGTCACACTGGTACTAACTGGCATGCAGGCTTTAAGGCTTTAAGGCTTTGTGATCGCCTTTACCCTGAACGGACATCGTGCTGTAGATCAAAGGAGACAATAAATATACGTACAAGAACATCCAATTATCTCACATTTACTCTTTCACTTCCCTTTCCAGCTCCTCCCACCCCGTCCATTCGGCAATGCTTCCCTAAAATCACACCTCGGTTCTTACTTTTCCCACCTATTTTGTTTTCTCGCCCCTCCTCCCCCTGCTTCCTCAAGACGAAGAAGGAGAATTTCACACCGGACGTTGCTGACAGTCATCTGGTGTCCGTACCTCCTCCTTCCTCCCAGCTGGACGCCAGCGACGAGCTCCGGCGGCTCCACTCCGCTCTGCTGCAGTGCCGCAGCTTGCTGGAGAGCACCATCGCCAGGGAGGAAGAGGAGCTGGGCGGCGGGAAGGCGGACGACTACGAGACCCAGAGGAAGATGGTGAAGGACAGGCTGTCGCTTCTCCTGATCAGCACCGGAGAGCTCCTCCAAGCCGCTGGCGGCGCGGGCGTCCCGCCCCCCGGCGTGGAGGGTTCAAAGGTAGAGGAGGTGTCCACGTCATTGATGATGATGATGGTGGTGGAAGTTCTAGAGAGAAGTTAAGGTAGATCTTTGTGACCCCCCCCCCCCCTTTCTCATCGGCAGTCAGATGGCTCGAGCGGTCTGTTCCAGCTGAAGCTTTGGGTGTACCGGATCTTCAAGGAGTTGGAATACTGGACCAAGACGGCCGTCACCACTCTGCAAGCGCTGCTTTCTGTGACCGGCAAGGAGCGTGCGAGGACCCCTCGAGGCCGGAGCCTGAGACGCGTCAGGCAATGAGATGGAGACGGTGTGTGTGTGTGTGTGTGTGTGTGTGTGTGTGTGGAGAAGGGATTGAGGCGCGAGGCCAATAACGTGGTGTGAAGGAGAGATGAGTGAAGATCGGCAGTCGTGATGGTGAGAAACGGATCTCTGACACGGGGAGATGATGAGGGGGTTGAACCGAGACCTTTGACTGACGGGGAGTAAAAGACAATCAATGTGTTCCTCACGGCTGATAACGAGATTCCTGCTGGAATGGTTCCAACACAACTCCATTTATTGTTTATTTCTTAAGGTGAAATCTACGGATTCATCTAGATTCCCTATGAGTTTCTTTCTTTGCTATTTGGTTATGAATGTCATTTAACTGAATATCAAAATGAATGTGTTGATACCTCACTAACATCTCCCCTGCACTCCGTTCGACATGGCTGAGGTTGTTTTTGCAGCCAAGGGGAAGCTGTGTGTGTGGGGGCAAGAGGTGGGTGACAGCGCCCTCTAGTGTGTACACTACGCGCTCCTCCCCCCTCGCTTTCCTGCTTCTCCTCAGTAATGCGTTTCCTTCTGACAGCTTAAAAACATCAGTCAGTACGACACTGAAAAAATATGTATTGTGCTTATAATTGTTTGAAATAACAGTTCACTGCTTAAATGCAAAAATACCTGTTATTGATTTTGATTTCTTAATTTCTTAATTAATATAATGTAATCTCTCACACACATTTATGTATATATATATACATATATATAAATATATATGTAGTTTCATCAACGAGGGCAATAGCAATACAAGGATAAGACACAAGCATAATGTTTGATATAACCGTGGTCAGTATGAACATTTTGAATAGCCTTAATTAGGACAGCAGAGAGTAAAGCGTGATGTACGTCAACGGATCCCGTATCCATCCATGGGGCCCTTGAGGCTGCCGGCGTGATGATGGACTTGTAGATAACTTGCGGTAGTTTGGTTTGACCAGAGAAACCCACGTGTATCCGCCAGTCTCCGCTGGCCTGTTACTCATCAAAAGTGGCCTCAGAGCCTCGTTATCGATGCGCGTCGGTCCGGGCGACACGACAGATACTGTAAATTACGCTGAATCCTAAAAGTCTTGCATAGGTAACCAATACGTTCCATCGCGGTTGTGTAAAAATCCAGGAAATGTCTTACAGTTTGAATGTTTAGCACACGGGGACCATTTGCTCATTGGACTAATGTAACTTTGTTTGACTGACGCTGTGCCGATTTGAGTCGGTTGATAAGCTGTTGGTAGGTGCACTGGGAATATACACGGTGAGACGTGCACGTTGTCACTGGAAGGCGACTCACACGTTTTTAATTGTAAAGATGAAAACCCTGCTGTTCATGTGGTGCATGCACTGAATAAAGAGTGACAATAGAACGTGCAGCGCAGATGCATCCTTACTATCTAACGATATTGTCGTGTACTTTAAATGCAGTGTGTAAGTACACGTGTTGCATTTCCTCTCCTGTTTATGGCTTTGTTTGTCTGAAGATGACCAACGCGTTTGGTACAGAAACGCCGGCGTGCTGTGATGGGAGAAGGTAGACGAAGCCGGAGGTCCCGGCTTATCGGGCACAGCGACACGTTTTATTTCTGCTGCACGGCACGATTCATTTAGTAAATGACTCCATTCAGAGTGTGAATCCCTTGTGATTGACACGTCGCCAGGAGAGCACAAAACGCCTCGGCGGTAACGGACAAAACCGCCAAAGTGGAGGCTTCCACTTCCTATACGGTCCGCTGAGTCGCACTGCTTCCTCAAAGCCACGCGTTCGCGTAACGCGGTGAAGCCCGCTGTCCTCCTTCCACGGCCGCAGTCTGACCTCTGACATGGAGGACAAGCGCCGCGGTTGCCTTGTTTGTGTGCGTGCGCGCTATTGATCGATAGGCGACCTCTTTCGGTATCGATGGAGGGACAGAGCCGCGGACAAATGGCTCGAAGCACAAAGAGGGGATCAGGTTCCCGTCGCATCGGTCCAAGAGAGTCGCAGCAGTTGCCACAGTTGTGGGGTTTCTCGCGTCGTGAAGGTGTTTTGATTAACGCCCTCGGTATTTAAACCATTTTATCTGGGGTGGTAGACTAAAACAAGTTTGATTCACTTGTTAATTGTTTAATTAATTGTTCTATGGCCAATGTGGCGTAATATGTACCAACCATTGGATCCACTTTTGGCCCCTGATGGTGTGTCAAGACAAGGCGCCAGAAGCCAAAGCCAGAATTCACCTTTTGTATTTTCCTACTTCGCCACTTTTTGGTTTGTGGAATTAGAATGTGTCTCGGAAAATGGCTTTTAGTGGTAATTATTCAAACTTCCTCAGGTCATGAAAAAGAAAATGTTACAGTACGGTTGCCCTTTAAAAAAATCTCGTTTTAGCAGTTTGTGGCATTTTGAGGGATCGATTTGCTAAAATGGAATAGAATTTGAATAAGTATGTGTTTTATTTGTATACAAACCCTGAATCTAAGGAAGGTGTTGGCGGTGGTAAAGGACATGGCCTAAAACTAACTTATTTGCTTCCTGGGGAGACGGAGGTTCATTTAGAAGATGTGTTCATGGCTTTTGTGGGTATCCCAGGGCTGCGCCGGTTTGTGGGAAGGTGCGTTGAATACGGAGCGCTCGGTCTAATCAGTCGGTTGCAACCTGTAAGCAAACCACTAGATGCCGCCAAATCCTTCACGCGGTCCCTTCAGCATCGGGTCACATTGGCAGAGCGTTCACAAATGAAGTGACATAAGCACAGGCCGCAGCTTTTATTTGGTTTTATTCATGGATAACAATTTTTGATACTGCTTCTTCCATTTAAGGATGAAATACTAAAAACATAAAACACGGCTTGGTCAAAATTCTGGTCAAACCCTTAAAGAAATGCGCTGAAATGTAAACTGGAATGAAAAGGTGGAATGTGTTTGGTGAAACTTTCTCGGGTGTAAAAGCGTATTTATTATATATTGGATTCTTGAGTGGGTTGAAATAAATTGATCTTGGCTTTAAATTGCGTCGTCTCGTGTGTCTGTGTGACTAAAAAACAGATTGGCTCACAACTGTTGGTGAGTTGGAAGGATGGGAATTTTTTTTCTTTCGGTGCAAGAAAAAAAAGTGTTATTTTACATTTGAGCTTGAATATTAGCAGTGAGGTTGTGTGTGTGTGTGTGTGTGTGTGTGTGTGTGTGCGTGTGTTTATGTTTAACTGGAAGAAAGGACAGGATGTGTGTTTGAGCGAAAGGGGTGGGGTGTGTGTTTTTAAAAGGGTTGTGTGTGTGTGTGTGTGTGTGTGTGTGTGTGTGTTTGTTTATATGTGTTTACGTGCATGTGTGTGTGTGCATGTCTTCATTTGTGTGTGCGTGTGGTTGTTAGGGAAGGAGTGGCAGTCAGGATGCCTGTGGAAGAGGGGGGAGGTGTGTGTGTGTGTGTGTGTGTGTGTGTGTGTGTGTCAGTTAGTGAGGGAGAGAGGGAGAAAAAACATGTGCGTGTGCTTGTGCGCATGTGTCTCTGTGCGCCTGCACATTTGTGTCTAGTGGGTGTATGTGTGTCTGAGAGAGAGACAGAGAGATGAAAAAAGAGAAGGAGAGAGAGGGCAGGAGTGTGTGTGTGTGTGTGTGTGTGTGTGTGTACGTGTGTGAGAGAGACAGACAGACAGACAGACAGACGGAGGGAGGGAGGGAGGGAGGGAGGGAGGAGGGGGAGAAAGAGCAAGCAGGAGACAAAATGTGTGTATCTGTGTGTGCCTGTGAATGTTTGCGCAGGCATGTGTGTGTGTTCCTGTGTGTGTTTGTTCCTGTGTGAGTGAGTGAAAGAAGCAGAGCAGTAGAGTGTGTGTCTGTGTGTGTGTGTGTGTGTGTGTCTGTGTGTGTGTGTGTCTGTGTGTGTGTGTGTGTCTGTGTGTGTGTGTGTGTGTGTGTGTGTCTGTGTGTGTGTGTCTGTGTGTGTGTGTGTGTGTGTGTGTTGCCTGTATGTGAGAGCGTGAATGAGCGAGGAAGGGAGAGAGAGGACATGTACGTGTGTGTGTGTGTGTGTGTGTGTGAGAGAGAGTGGGGGAGGGGTGTACAAGAGAGGTGTGTGTGTCTGTGTGTATGAAAGGAAAGAGGTGATGTGTGTGTGTGTGTTTGTGTGTGTGTGTGTGTGTGTGTGTGTGTGTGTGTGTGTGCGTGCGTGCGTGCGTGCGTGCGTGCGTGCGTGCGTGCGTGCGTGCGTGCGTGCGTGCGTGCGTGCGTGTGTGTGTGTGTGTGTGCGTGTGTGAGCGAGCACGCGCCTGCGTAGGAGGGGATGCACGTGGACACGTGTGTTTGTGTGACTGTGTGTATTTGTGTGACTGTGTGTGTGTGTGTGTGTCTGACAGAGATAGAGGGGGAGGGGTGTGTGTGTGTGTGTGGTGTGTGTGTGTGTGTGTGTGTGTGTGTGTGTTACAGCAGCACAATATGTGCCTGTGCTGAATGAAAGGGAAATGAATGCGGTGTGTGTGTCTGTGTGTGAGTGTGTGCTATGGAAGAGGGTGTGTGTGTCCTTTATTAGAACTGTGTGTGTGTGTGTACTTGTGTGTAGTTTGTGAAGACTGTACAACAGTGTGTTGCTGTAAATGTGCACAGCGAATGTTTGTCTTCGGTGAAGATTGTGTAGCTGTGTGAAAAAGTGTGTGTGTGTGTGTGGTGTGCGTGCGTAGTTGCACGTTTGTGTACGCAAATACACACTTGTATTGAGGCTATTGGTGCGGGTGATGAAGTGTTCATGATCGTGTGCACACGCAAACAGAGCAGAATTACAATTAAACCAAACTCCTTCAGCAGCCACCAGACCTCCATCCTCCTCCTCCTTCTTCTCCTCCTCCCTCCTCCTCCTTCTTCTCCTCCTCCATCCTTCTCCTCCTCCTCCTCCTTCTTCTCCTCCATCCTTCTCCTCCTCCTCCTTCTCCTTCTTATTCTCCTCCTCCTCCTCCATCCTTCTCCTCCTCCTTCTTCGTCTCCTCCTCCTCCATCCTTCTCCTTCTCCTTCTTCTTCTCCTCCTCCTCCTCCATCCTTCTCCTCCTCCTCCTTCTCCTCCTCCTCCTTCTTCTCTTTCTCCTTCTCCTTCTCCTCCTCATACTCCTTCTTCTTCTCCTTCTCCTTCTCCCCTCAGCCCTGCGCCATATCCAAGCACCTTGATGACTGTTACCTCCTCCTGCACATGTCAGCAGGAGTGAAGTGGTTTTTCATCATCTCTCCTCAAGATAGAGTAAGTCTGCCGATGGGGGGGGGGGGGTTGCAGAGGGAGGGGGGTCTCTGCACTAGTGACACAGAGACACAGCTTGCTGTAATTATATATGTCGGTATTAAAATATACGGTAAGTTCTGGGCTGCTGATGTGTACAGGGCACTGTGGTAGATCGGATAGCAGCGGTTGGTCAGTGGGAACATTCAGTGGTGATTCAGTGTTGGTATCGTTGATAAAGTTGGGAAACTAACATCACTAGAGAGGTCAACTCCAAGCCAAAGACTTTGAGGCTACATCCAAAATATCTATCTATCTATCTTTTGCTACAGTTCAGGTTGTGACACTATTTAAAAAGGGACGGATGTGGATAAGACTCTAATAAACATGAGTCCATGACCGATGTTACTCCTTTGAGTCCCTCCTTGTAGCAGTGACCAACTCAGCAGCAATCACTTTAAAAAAAGAAAAGAAAATCATTATTTGCCCTTTCAAGGTAATCCACGTGTTTAAAATGTTTTTATAGGAACTACCGTTAAAAGAAAGTAGTTTTCAACATAATAGGGTCTCAGCATGTTTGACTGCTCCAAGCAGTGAGGCTCATGGTGGACAACATTAACCAGCGCTGTCCCCATGTCCCACGTTGAGGAGCCGGTACCACAAACCGCTGAAGCAGTGATCACTGGGACTCACAAACGGCCGTCACAGGGTGAGAAGTCCGTCCTTACAAACAGGACTTCTCTCTCACCGTGTGACCAGATAACTGGAGCTAACGGCTAATTGGGTAGCGGGAGCTAACGGGAAGCTTCCATATTGGGATAGTAAATCATTTCCAGCCACTACTTTAGCAATTCTTGGGCCAAAATAGGATGTATTTTCTAACCCCGACCTGCAGTTATATCTCAACGATGTAAGAACAGACACTTTGATTGACTTCTAATGACATCATCAGGGCCATATTTGCATGCTGTGCAATAAAACATTTGATCCGTCTCTCGTGTCTGTGAAATACAGTTCTTCTTAAATTAATACTGATGGACAGAATTGATGTCTCAATTGATTTGATCATTAATCTGCTTTCAGATATTGCCATTAATTGAAGCTCTAACCTTTAGTTCGACCCATCAAATAGTCTATCAATAAATATCTGTCTAAAACTAAGATTTTAAATTGTGCATTTCTGAAACTGCATGTGAAAGTGTCACGAAACTAGAAACCCTTTTGTCTGTTGTCTAACTGGAGTCTTGTGGCTTTGAGGAAACATTGAACAGTTCCCAAAGAGGTTTTGTATTTTTGCTCTAAATGACCGTACATGATATCTATAGTATGAACTTCAATGCACACAATACCATAAAAAGGGGAGGGGGGGGATTTGTTCTTGTGTCCCATTTAAATCCCTGCCAACAGATACCGGCTGATTCATTTCTCTGTGGATGACTGGCGATTGTATCTATTGAGGACAAAAGGCAGATGTTTGGGGTTTAGCGTATGACGTATGTATGTTCTGTGTACACCGGATTGCCTTTGACTCCACACATGAAAGCCAACCTGTCTGGAGTTGGACAGAATCAGAAGATCTGTGGTCAAAGTCCTGATCGCTGTGTTTGTAGGTTTTCTACCCGTCGAGTGTCCTCAAGATGAGGAATCAGCCATCGGCCCCAAGATCTCCCAGCGTGGAGACCAGTCTGCAGCTGACGGGGTTAATTAACAGGTTAGACTGAATCGGTGTGCCTCTCGTTGATGAATGCAGAGCATGTCTTCTGTGGCTCTGGTGACCTGTGACGGTCAGCAGTCCAATACATGAATTTGGGGTTTTCTATTTTATAGTAATCCCTAACAATACCAGTTACTGTCTCAATCCCCTGAATAAAGATGGCCTTTCCCGAAAGACTGTTCCATTCCATCTTTGGTAGTTATCTCCATTGTTTACACTTCAACGTGGATTCTACCTTTTTGAAGTAATTTAGTACTTCTGACCTACATGGCAGCAATTCTCCAAACGTCTCTGAAGCTACCCTCTAAAAATCTACCACAATTAATTTTGAATTCATTGACAAGAAATGGATTACACAATTGCAGAATTATGCATAATGGTTTGTGTAAAATTGAAAGTTTTAATAGATGACATTCGGGAGTTTGGGGGAAAGCAAATTGCACACTTCATTAGGCTTAGTGGTGGTTTTAAGACCTGATCGTGTTCCAGCTTTAGTAGTGAAACGATTAACGTTTTGGAAATAAAACTGACGAAGAAATCATACAAATACCAACTAGAGAAACTACTTCTTTTGTCCACCAAATGGTCATTGTGTGATAAAGGGATTTAAAAAAATGTACCGCCTAGGATGGAAAATGATGAAATGAACAGAAAAACAAACAGAAATAACTGGAGCTTTTTCTTCTGCATGCTGGGCTGGTTTGCATATTTGGAACCAAATATTTACAGGTTTGAAATCTTTTAAACGTCACATCTCTGCACGCACACTCAACTTGATACGGCATCTTATACTAAAATTATAATCAAATGTCAGAGACATTTTTGCAGCCATAAAGGGAGTGTAATTAAAGCCCCGTTAGAGGACGCAAAACAGCGTTTCTATTGTTAATCCAGTCATGTAGTGTTCTTATACGTTATACATTATACATTATTATTTGGGCTTTTCAGAGCATTGATGTTTAACCTGCGAATTTACCAACAAAGTAAGTGACAAAAGTAATGTAGTTCACGTAAGCAAAATATTTGAAACATTTTTAAAATGAAAGTTGTAATGACTATAATAATAATAACTGACTATAATAATAATAATAATTAAATCAATAAATAATGCCTCAGATATAAATAGATAATACATTTGGGGACTGGATTATGATAAATCAATAAAGTTACATAATTCAAAACATTTGTCAAAAATGGAGCCCACCATTATTCAGAAGATATTCACACCCTTGGAAAGCCCCCAGCATTAAAGAGCCAACGAGGCCATCCGCATATTTACGTGGCCAGAAGGAGATTGGATCAATGGTAAAAGTTGAAGTGAATCTGCTCTTAATTGGGTTTTTTGAGGTAGAACATTTACAAATGTGAGTCCAGATGAGTTGCACATTCTCTGTCGAGCTGCCAAGCGTTAATACTCTTCTCTTTGTTTGACAAATAATCACAGGTACATTTTTGCTTAACCATGTGGATTATAACAGTGTTGCTATGTTGTTGTTTTTTTGTAATTATTTGTAGAAATGATGAACTCCTGAAATTTGAAATAAAGCCAGCATGACGTCAGGAAAACATGCATTCTAAGAGGAGTGAGTGGTTCTCTGACGCAGTCTTTTGAGGGCTGTACATTCGGTCATTTTAGCCGAGGCAGCGCAGATGTTTCTCTTTTGTCATTTCATGATTTTTCAAACGTGTATGACCGAGCCATGGACATGCCGCTGTGTTTGTAATGTACGTTTCAACACACGCTGTTTCATCTGATCTGCATACGTCATGAAATTCGAAGTAGTGGTAAATACACATACGTTGTCATCATGATTGGTGTGTGTTTTGGAGGAAATGATGTGATCACCTATGCTTCCCTCTTCAGTCCCACAGGTCTTTTAATAATGATTTACTCCCAGTGTTACACAAAAAAAGAAATGTTTATTATTTGTATTTTTATAGTTGCAATGTATTGTTATGCTAGCATATTGTTAATTACATTTTGATGTACTGTATCTTTACACCTTGGACAAGAGCCAAGAAATCAAGGTCTTACAACATGAAATGTGTGGAAAAATCATGAGTTGTGGGAAGTAGCTAATCAGTATTATAGCCTGCTTTCCTCAGTGATTAGCATTTAATTAGCAAACCCCTGGAACGCAATGTAATGTGTCTGTCTGGCACTATTCTTGTTCCCCTTTAAAAATCAAATTTATATTTTGACACAAACCATTTATTTCATTTTTTAAATCCTTACCAATAACATTTCAAGATCCCGTCTTACATGACAAAAAAAAACACAACAACAATTTCAATGTCAATAGTATCCTATACACACACACAAAAGAACTGCTTAAATCAATACAAAATAACTTGCTTCCTAAAAATGCATTGTGTGGTGTTGTTAAAGGCAATGTGTTTTCAAAAAGGAACATTCATATTTATGATATCTATTATTTTTTTTAGTAAATAAAGTTTTAATAAGGCGTGTTTTGAAACACTGGGACTAATAATGAACAATAAATTATTAATACTACACTCAATGATGACCTATATTGGCAAATGTAATGGGTGTCCATTCTATATCTGTAAAACCTGTTTAATGTGGGACGGCTTGGATGGGGTATGTACCTAACTAACAATTTGTGGATCAGGATTTGTGTGAACCTGTTGATAAAAAACGATGGTGTTCATACGGCTGTGCAAACAGTACGCTACTGGAGCTCGTTACAAACCTTAATGTTATTCTGTAAAAAAGGACAGACATCACCTGAATGTCGCCACCGCTTTATTTTCACGAATTATGTTCTCAGTTAACGAGCTAATAATCACTCTTCTTAGAAACGGTCTACGTTCTTTTATCTGTTGGTTGGGCGCGTCCATTCCTCTATGAGGGGTGGCCGAAATCAAGTATTCATTAAAAGTTGCTCACAACTCATGTTTTACCGCCAGTCCTGCGGCAAACGTCACCTATTCCCTTTGAAAATCATGCCGTAGTCTAGTCTTTGGCCAACGATAATACTCAATAACCCGTACCGACGGGTTATTTGTGTCGCCTGCCGCGCGCCGCTCCCCCCCCGCCGCTCCGCCGCGGTGGTAGCGGCCGGAATAACCTTGGTGCGAGCCCGGCTGAACGGTAGGAGAAAAGAGCGCTAGGCAGAACAGCTCGGCGGTGTAACACCGACCGCTGGGGTGAACATGGAGGACACCGCACGCTCGCACTTCGACTACGGGGAGACGCGCAGCCTGGACAGCCGCGGACAAGGCAACAAACCGGCACCCCCGCTGCGAGGGTGAGGGACTCAGTGACTTCGCGACACCTACAACCGTGAAAAAAGCCGCTTCTCGACAGTGTTTCTCCTCCCCCATGACAGCAGCGCTCGGGGGGTGTGTGAGGGAGGGTGTTTCTGATGGAGCTAAAGTTGTAAACGTGCCGTATGAGTCCAGTTGAAAGTACATTATGGAAGCACGTCGCTCGTTTATCTCATGCTAGGTCGGGTTGTGAACGTTGGGGCCACCTTATAAAGCCGCGCCGAAGAGGCGTGGTGCGTGTGTGCGTGTGTGTGTGTGTGTGTGTGTGTGTGTGTGCTGTGCGCGTGTGCGAGTTCGCGTTCGTCTACGTGTACGCGCGGCCATGTGTGCACTTATTGGTGTTTGTGTCTGAAGCAGAAACCCCCTCATCCAATGCTGTTTCTTTGAGTGACACAGTAAGCGACTTTTACATACGCGCACTGTATAAACATGTGATGACGGTCGAGCTTAAACTGTTGCTTTTTCATCCGATGCCGAAGTTTGATATGTTGCATCTTCAACTCAAACTAAAGTTGTGTCCAACATGTCTCACTACACAACGCTGCAATGTCCCAAAGTTATAAAACTATTGGAATTAACACACTGTCAGAGCCTCTGTGTGTGTGTGTGTGTGTGTGTGTGTGTGCGCGCGCGCATATGTGCGTGCCTGCTAGTGCGCGCTCTGGCCTGTGTCTAGTGTGCGCGCGCATTCGTGTGTGGTTGTGTGAGAGTGGGAGAGAAAGGCAGGCACACACACAGGGAGGGGGAGAGAGCGTGAGAGAGAAAGGAGCAGCTCTGTGTGTGTGTGTGTGTGTGTGTGTGTGTGTGTGTGTGTGTGTGTACGTGTGTACGTGTGTACGT